GTGTTGCACTAAAAAAAGATTAGCTTTATTCTAGGCTTAGCAAGGTGCCATAGTAGCAGGGTAACAAGTTTTTTTGTTTTCTAGATGATGAAACCCTTTAGAAGGGAGCAGCAGTAGAAAATGATTTCTGTGGGAAAGCGCCGCTGGTTTTCTTCTTCAACCTCGTCATCTTCACTTCCATGGATCTCCCCTCTGCAGTCTCTAGCCAACTTCAAGAAACCAGACCCCCCGCCCAAAACCTCAAATGTGGAGCCTCGGAGGAAATCAAAATTTATTGCTCACGAGGCTGCGGTCAACATGATCAAACGTGAGAGAGATCCACAACGTGCTTTGGAAATATTTAATATGGTAGCTCAGCAAAAGGGTTTTAATCACAACAATGCCACCTATGCGGTTATCCTTCAGAAGCTTGCTCAGTCAAAGAAGTTGCAGGCTGTTGATGCAATTCTTTCTCAAATGACCTACGACACTTGCAAAATTCATGAGGGTATATTCCTTAACCTCATGAAGCATTTCTCTCAACTTTCTTTACATGAAAAAGTACTTGAGATGTTTTATGCAATTCAATCAATTGGTCGTGAAAAGCCTTCTTTGAAAGCCATCAGCACTTGTCTTAATCTCCTGATTGAATCAAACCAAATTGATTTGGCCCAAGATTTTCTCTTGAATTCCAACAGATCTCTCAGTTTGAATCCCAATACATGCATTTTCAACATTTTTGTTAAGTATCACTGCAAGAAAGGAGATATTGAGTCTGCCTTTGAAGTTGTAAAGGAGATGAAGAAATCCAAAATTTCTTATCCTAATCTGATTACATATTCAACTGTGATGGATGGCCTCTGCAAAAATGGAAGATTTGAAGAAGCAATTCAGTTGTTTGAGGAAATGGTTGATAAAAATCAGATCCTACCTGACAGCCAAACCTATAATGTTTTTATTAATGGCTTTTGCTGCAGAGGGAAAGTTGATCGGGCTAGAAAGATAATGGACTTTATGAAGAACAACGGCTGCACTCCTAATGTATTCAATTACTCAGCCTTAATGAATGGATTCAGCAAGGAGGGAAGGTGGCAAGAGGCCAAGGATGTTTTTGATGAAATGAAGAGTATTGGTGTAAAACCTGATACAATCACCTATACTACCTTGATTGACTGCTTTTGTAATGCTGGTAAAGTTGATGAAGCCATTGAACTGCTCAGAGAGATGAAGGAAAGGGAACTGCAAGCCGATATTGTAACCTTTAATGTGCTACTCAAAGGACTATGCTCAGGGGGAAGGTATCAGGAGGCTATTCAAATGGTCAAGAAACTGCCTGATGATGGTGTCTATCTAAATAAAGCAAGTTACCGGGTTGTGTTGAATTCCTTGTGCCACAGGAATGACTTGAACAAGGCTACAGAGCTTTTGGATCTGATGCTGAGCCGGGGGTTTGTGCCACATCACTCAACCTCAAATGAGTTGCTAATGCGTCTATGTAAGGCTGGAATGGTAGATGATGCACTTGCAGCACTTGTAGGGTTGGCAGAGGTAGGATTTAAACCAGCGCCTGATTGTTGGGCAGTTTTGATTGAATTGAACTGTAGAGAAAGGAAGCTGTTGTCTGTATTTCAACTGATTGATGAGTTAGTCATATAAGAATAAAAATATATAATTTATCAAAAAAATTTGCTAATTTGTTTACGAAAGGGGTGTAAAAATTTGATTTTCACCAAATCACTTAAAATTGATATTGTTCCTGCCACATCCCTAGCAAACTCAATTCTTGAATGGAGTCCTCAGCCTGACAGACTTCTGAGTTCTTTCAAGAAATTACAGGTAGCGAAGCACCTTAAGGCTATACTCCTAACTTTAAACCGCCTGAGCCAAGTCTCATTTGCCTAACAACCCTTCAAGTTGTCATCATGTGGATAGTCCCAACTTAAGATTCGAGACGTCACACAATACACAAAGGCACAAAGATTAACAAATCAATCCCATTTCTTGGTTTACATTATTTGTGAAGGCGTATTTATGTCCCAAGCTTTGAAAGCTTTCAGGGAGTCAGGAAGCTAGTCGGCAGCTTGATCTTCTACGCTCTCTCTTGATCTTAACCAGAGAAATGCAATTGATTATATAGAATTTAACAATATAATAATTTAATAGCCTTAACACATTGTCAGTAACCTTACAACTATTTTGTCCATACGAATGCTAGACAAAACAACAGGAGCACACACAAGACAGTGATTTAATTACCAAAAATTATTCCCCCCCCACTTTATCAATAATTACAATGGGCTATTAAACAACATTTCTACAGGCAAAACAGAACTTGGGGGATAAATAACATCAATATAAATACAACACTTCCCGTTAGCAAGACTATTCCTTGTTTCGTGATGAGCGATCTTTACGTTGTCCACCAAGAATACGTGAAATCTGCAAACCTCTGCTGAAAGCTTGGTTGAAAAGCATGCGAGTCTGAAACTCAGAGACAAACGGAAACCAGGCCAAGAACGCAACAGGAGTAAACAGAAGTAAACCCATTATAATCTCGTATCCACGTGCAAGTGTCTTTATTGATCCCCAAAACCCAGCTTTGTGAACAAGAGGCTTCAATGCTTGAGCAATCTAGTAAATCCAAGGAACAGAAACAGAAAGAAATCAATGGGTTAATTACCAGTATAGAACTTGAATTCATGATCATGACATGACAGTACAATGCCACCACATCACAGTGAAAATGATGCACCAGTCACCGGTTGGGAGACATGCTACAAAAGAGTGAAGATACTAAAGGTAATTTAGAATGTATACGCTTCAAATAGAAATTGACTAATAACAAAATTGTAAAAGGATTTTAAGTCTTAGAATAAATTATCTTAAGTCATTTTGCAGCATTTAGTTCTCTATTCATTTAAGTGTTCAGTGCAGTGGACTCTTGATATTTTACAAAAGAATTTAAATTAGCAATAAAAACAAGGCACCCTTCCAGAAGATATAAAATCAGGGTAAATATTGTGCATATAACACCACCCTCATATGCCCAGATCCAGCTTTGGACTTGAGCTTCAAAATATGTTATTCCATTTCAAATTATGAATCTTGGTATAAAAAGCCATCACTCTATCAGAGCATAATTTCAGTAGAAGGAAGGGGGCATAAAGGTACTTACTAATAGCATGCCCCAACCTGTAGGCATGAAAGCAAGAATGCACACAATGATGTCTTGAATTGTCATGTGAGGGAGTGCAATCAAGGTAACCAGAATAGAAATAAAAGTCAGGAATATCATTCCCTTGATTAGCCGGAAGACAAGTTGATAACTTGCACTGAACCTTCTCCGGCCAACAGATACAGCCTGCACAAGAAAAAATGAAGAGTTTAAGTCATAAGAAATGCAAAGAGCTCGCTCTGTATGCTTCAATAGAAAGAACAATTATGCAACAAAAAAAGTCAGAACCGGCTCATTACCAAGTATGCCAGTCTTCCCAAGCATATTGTGACAAACAAATAGGAAGATGAAACTACAAGAGTCTTACAAGAAATTTCTAGATCATTGTGTAATATGCTGATACAAAATGACAATGTACCATTCCGCAAATTGATTTTGGATGTCTCATCTGTTGAACAGTTCTCTAGACAAATGTCATTTAAGTAAATAATGTAAACAGAGGATGTTCCGAAATCCTCTTTCCTCTTCTCCACGCAGAAAAATTTTGAAAGCACTCACTTTTTCACGAAAGAATTACTTCTTTTTAATATGGTGGAAAAAAGTATACACAAAGATATTCAAACAAAACATAGGAGATTTACCTTACAAGCACAAGATCAGAAAAACACAAAAAAGAACAATTCATATTGATAGCTTCTATGCCTATTGCTATAATCAAGAAGATACACATTGCATGAGAGAAGCAGGGACCAAAATGGATCCAATTATACCCAGGATAACAATTGACCAACATTGCTGCTTACCTTCATTACAAACAAAATCAGAAGAATAACCAGCCATGATGCACCATAAACCTGTCACCAAGTGAAAAATAATGTTAGATGTTTGCAGCTGGCATTATATAAAATAAAGTTGGATACAAAAATAACTGGGGAAAAAAACATACCAAAAAGCTTTTGGTGTGCTTTGTAATATTTAGGTGATATACAAGCCCATATTGGTAGATAAAAAACCGTAAAGCTAATAATATCTCAGCTATGATACCACGCATTCCAGAATGTCGAAGATGCTCTTGTTCTTCCTCCCACCATGATTCCCAACTTTTTTCTGGTGGTACACCTATACCCCCTCGGTTAGTTATCCACTTGTTCCAGTCAGTCCAGTCATCAACAATCTTTTGCCACTCAAAACCCGAAGGATTGAAAAGGAAGGGAGCAAACAGCCACGTGCCCACCATAAACCACATAGAAACAGTGATCAGAACATAAGCAACTGCACTTCTGTAAGTATGACCAAAGATTTGGTATACAAGAAGTAAGATCATCATCTCAATTCCCTTGACAAAATGGCTACGTGAGTATAGTCTGTAGTTATCAGCAAATTTGGCATGGAACACCACAAACCCTCTACCAGTGGGCCTATATTTTGCACCTCCATGAAGTAATGTCCTTCCATAATAGTGTGTTTTTGTTCCAAGGGAGAATGTGAAAAACACAGGTGCCAATTGCAATTGCATTAATATAAATTCACTGAGGGCAGTTCGGAAACCCCTTTCCAAGCCAATTTCCATCAACATAGGCAAGGCCATCAAGAAACCAATTTGAACAAAAGACTGAGAAGCAAGAGCCACTTGAAGAGGCTTATTGTCTCTAATTGCTGGTTGCTGACTCAATCCTTCTTCAAGTCCACTCAGTACAAGATAAAGGCGACCATAAAGGAACACATACACAGTGAGAACAGTTATCTGGCAGACCAAAAACAAAAAAGTGAGGATGCTCAGGGCATTGAGTAAATAATTTAAAATGTCAACAAGAATCAGGAATTCGCAAAATACCAGAGTATTGAAGTAAAAACCAACAGTGGTGAAATAACATGACAACATCCTGAAAAAGTCAAATCGATGTCCAAGCCGGTATATATCTCGACTCAATGTCTGCTCCCCATTTCCATTAGCTATTTTGGCCTCAAACATAGAAATCTGATTGAGACCCACATCCCTTCCCTTCCCAACTTGTATGTACTCATGATGAGTAACATTGCCTTCTCGAAGTGTGGAATTGAAACCTAGAATTGGAAGTGAATGATGATACTTATTAATTCAAGCCAGAGTCACATGGTAAAAATAAGGTACATAGAAAAGAGGAAACACTCCATACCAGCAAAAATGTCTTCACTCAAATTGATGACTTTGGACGCTTTGCTAACACCCCCTCTTGTGAGGTGAAAGAGCCTATCAAATACATCTGGATGACCATAGTGGAACCGCACCCTGGACAGAAACAGTAATGTAAAAGATCTGTGCATAAACATGAGAATGACTAGGAGAATAAGACTGAAGAGCCTCCCCCAAGGCAAACCCCTCTTATCCAACTGAAAAGATTATGCTTTGTTTTGTATTTCTTTAAAGCTTTTATTTACAAGATCCACTGTCAAGATGCATTCATATTTAGCACCATCAATGGCCTCAGCAAAACTAGTTGAAGTCAATGTTTTGCTGGAAAGGAAGAATCTGTCATACGTAGGGTGGTGAAATCAATAAATTTAAAGCATCATAATAACAATCTAACCATCAATAATGATTTGGCTTTATCCAAAAAAGACCTTTTTTGAAAGCACAAATAAGTCCTCATCTAATGATAGACCAAAGATCTCAACCCCCCTCCACCCCAGTAAATAAAACTTAGCATGTAAGAGAGGTTGAAGTAATACAACTTACTTTAAAGGGTTGGCTAACAATCTCTGGCCAATCGTAACAAAACTTGTCTCCTGATTTGACATGAACCAAGCAAGAGAAGAAACACTGCTCCAAGTAGAAGTTTATTTTCAATAAGCAATCATCAGAAACATGAAAAGAATGAAGTTGTCAATCAGAGAAAAACAGAATACCACCCACCTTCCGGTAAATATATGTTCTCTAAGCCCAAGAATTGAAGGATATCTCACACCATCATGCTCAAGAAATTCTTGCAATAAATTTCTCATTTTTAAGGCCTCTTCCATGTAATTATCCTACACAAATGAAAACTTAACAAAATGAAAACTGGCAAAATGGAGATTTTTTATTACCTCAGTTAAATATAGCATAACAATCATAAACACCTGGTTCATATCTATCGTCTGCAAGCCTTCTCCACGCGTGAAAATAATGGCATGATTTTGGTTTTCAGGTTTTCCTTCACCCAAAATAGCAGATCCTGGAAGCTTAATCCGATAAATGACCTGTGTGTGGACATCAAGAAAAACAAATGAAAGAATTATGATGCTGAAGTGCAATAACATTAATGTAAAAACAGAAAAAATAAATAAATTTAACAGAAAATAAATATTCGTAGCATCCCACGTATTAAAATTAGGAATATTACAAAATCCTCTACATAATTGTATTAACCCCTAAGATGGGGCATTGATTGGAATACAAATTCTCACTTGCCTTCCTAAAAACATTTTTGAGGATATGTTATTCAAATTCCATAAGAGCAGAACAGCATCCCATAAATAGTTATAAGACTAAACAGGTACATTAATGTTGCAGTCAATACTCCCAGAAAATAACACGATAGACATTCTTTCACCCCTAGCAAGGTGCTTTTCCCAAAACTAGAGGAAAGGAAAAGTATTACTTCATAGGCTCACATCTAATCAGTGAAAGGGAGGACTTTTAGATATATGGAAAACATAGGCTCCTCTATAGCTTTTAGCAAGTTTCAATACTTCAAACAAGCTACTTCAAAAACCAATTGAATCATCAAAACTTCTCTTCACAAGGCAGATAAAACAAAGGAATACCCTTACAAGAAAAAATAGAATAAAAGCGGCTCAGTGAATACCAAAAACAAATTGCAATGACAATATTGGTCCAGAGAATAAATGGCAGTGTGGTTAACCCCACTAAAAATGGCCACTTCAAAGTTTCTCAAGAACTGCACAGATCGTTATAATAGCTCAAGGCATTTCTCAACCTTCGAAGATATTATGATTTATCTTAAGCTTAAGACTTATGTTATAATAAACGAAAGTATAGCTACAAGCCATAGAATATGGAATCAACTACTAAACTGTGAGCAACAACTTCAAATCAGACCAAGCATTACCTGGTCTAAATTTTGTGTTGAGTCTGAAGCATCACTGGACTTGGGGACAGCCTTTACCAAAGCAGAGTAATAAACCTTGTCATTTATCTTCTTGGATTTGTCTTTATTAGGTTCTTCAACTTCATCAATATAAGCCACACGAAGGGATGGATATCTGCCAATGACAAGAATCCATCAATGTATTGAAAGTAACTCAAATGGTGGCTCACTAGAAAAGAAATGACTGAGAAATTACTTTGTCATCAGCCTCAGAATGTCCTGTGCACGTGCATCAGCAGACCGCTTCTGAATACCATATTGTTGGCAGGACACTACATATGTGAATTTCATATCGGCTACAGCTTCAAATTGAGCCTTTACTGACCTTTCCCCTTTGTTATCCTCTGTATTCAATTCTATAGCTTTGTATCCTTCCATCAGATCTAAATAAGTTGAACATTTAAAAAGGGTGAGCAAAAATAATTTCACTGCACACCATAATCCATATGAGAAACAGAGCACGTGCAACAGCAAAGCCTCAGAAACAATCATTTGACCAAATGCACTACATTCTAGAAGGGATAAGCAAAAATCAGACCTTCATGTTTGGCCATATCAAGAAAAGCTTGCAGCTCCAATGCTTCACGATAGTACATCATACCCCTAACTGGCAATTATAACAATGTTAATCAGTTGCAAAATAAGAACAAATACAAGTGCACCTGCACACACAAACACACACTCAGTTGTACATTTTACTTGTTCAAGAAAATTGTTGAGAGAGAGAGAGAGAGAGAACCAGTTCTTGTTAAAGTTTGGCCCCTATATGATGCCCAAAGACGTAGTTGTTCTTCTAACTCTGGTGCTTTAAGTTCTTCTTCAGTTGTACGATTTACTCGCTCAAGAAAATTGTTCCATTCATCTGTACATTATTCACAGGAGATTAGTGCCATGGTAAAAGTAGTTAAGAAATTTAGCTCTGAAACTACACTCAGAGCAAAAGGAGGCATAAACCTGGGAAAATTTTTTGCAAGTAAAAAAGGATAGAAACACCATCTTCATTTGGCACCTCCAAATCTTTCAAGGAGAAGAGAACCTCCTCTGTGTAGTAAGGAGTCAAAACACTACAAAGGAAGTTGTTACCACTTTAGCAAAGTGCATCATGAACAATGTCATATTATTAAAACTTAAACTAATGATCATTGAAGCCCATGCATCCAGAATTCCCTTTAGACAATTAATCATATTAAAAAGAGTTTCACCAAACATTAGTCAAGGTACAATGTAAACAATTATATTCACTTAGATTTTTAGGTTCAGCTCCACAAAGTGAATGTCATGTATGCTCAATAGTTTGAAGAGTCAGTAGCTTTAACCTAATAACCTTAAATATAAAATTCCACTGATGACAATCATGATCAAAGTTCACTAATTTCAAGAAAGAGGGCATCCATCATAAAGAGAACAAAAACCATTCAACAGTTACTTCAAAATATTTTGAATTTCCCCATTGCCTGTTTTCAAAAAAATTAAAAAATAAATAAAAAGACTTGGATGCATAAAGTATGGAGTGTATTAAGTTGGAAGAAATTCAAAAAGACTAGATTCTCAGGCTGTCAGCACACCACATTTTCAGGTATGCAAGTACATTAAATACATAAATTTGTAGAATGCCAGACACCCTAGTTTAAGAAGTCTAAGGAGTAGGAGTTTCCTATTACTGGGGCCACGTAAATGTATAATAACATGAAATGCAAAAGCTTGTTATTAGAAAGATAACTTACGAGAAAGAAAGCATGTTGCGGACTTTAGGTGCATCAGGCATATCCATAAACAATGAATTGGAAAAGAAAGAAATCCGCCTCCTAGCTTCTAAGTTGGATGGTACGTCCATTGCAGATTCCTTTGTGGTAAGTAAAAGATAAAGCCGATTGATCTGCAACACAACTAGCAAATAAAGATGATAGACTTATCAAAAAGAGAGTTTCTCAGTTTTGATGGATATCCATTAAATTCACCTTTTCTTTCCATGCTTCTGTTAATGGATTTATTGGAAACCTGATAGCCCCAGAAGATGCAAACAACTGATATTGTTCTTCGTGGAGCGTCATCCCCCCATGTCCAAAAGCATGTATAGATTCCACCAAACTATCAAGAAAAATGGCAAGTTCATCAAACATAAAGTATAATGCACTTTGCATCTGAGGAAATAAAATTAAGATGGCAGACCTAGATACTTGATCCTCCATCATGTCTCTTGTCACAACCTCCAGCATGTCCTGGAAAAGAATTACCACTTCATTCCGGTCGTCTGGGTTATTCTTTAGCTGAAAAATCAAACCACTTCATTCAGGACTCCATGTTATGCCACAGTTCAAGAGAAACCAAAAGTTTCATTATTTTCTGGAAAAATTTTGATCATTACCAAAAACTCGATTAACTTGACAAAGTGGTCATAAAGTGTAGGAAGAGCGCTCATCTTGAATTCACTAATAAGATTGCCGTCCACCAAATGTTGGTCAACCGCACGAAAAATGTCCTCGATAACACTAAAAAAAAAAAAAAATCATCAGGAAGAATGCATTATGTTTGAAAAGTAATAGACTTATAAGAATCTTAACTACACCATTGGCAGCATGAATAAAGATGAAACTCCATGTTGATCATGTCTCCAGCTATAAACTCTAGAAGTTCACCAGTACTTACCCTTTCTCACGATTCCCTTGAACCAAGACCATGATAATGTTCTTGAATGAAGCATAGCATTCACGAACTGCACACCTCATGTAAGGGTCAGACTCAATTCGCTTTTTCAGCTCCTTTTCCCTACTATCACTGTCCTTGGCCATGTCTAAAGCTATGGGGATCTACAACAAAATTCTGAATTAATACTAAAAGCGAGCTTTAAAGATGCAGAAGAAATAAAAACTAAAGCTAACCTTGCTAGCAAGCAAAAATGGAGGCCACTGTATTAGGTCCAAATCACGATCAGCCCAATATGGAACAAGCAACAGGTTCATTTCCCTAAAAATGAGAGCAAGTTCAGCATGCTAGAACAAAAGAAATAAGTTTGAAATTGCATTCAATAGGATATCATTCAGCTCGGGTGCATATAGAATACTTATTGCTTATAAGATCTTCGTCCCTAAAACTACTGATTATTTTGTTCCACAGTTGAGCAAATCTAGCAGCCTCTTTCTCTTTGTTAGATGGAACCTACAAAATAGAATGAAATATCAAGCATTTAAGTATTACAAAATCATAGAAGCCACAAATTAAAGGATATCATCGTTAAGAGCTTCAACCTCTGGGAAGCTACGGGAAAAAAATCCCCAGATTCCTTTCTTTTTTTTATCTCTATCATCTGCAGGAATCAGACGGTAATTAAAAGCACCCGGCAATGATTGAAATCGAGATCTGAGCATTCCCAATGTTCGAATCTGGAATAAACAAAAGGAAGTTTGAGCACCAAAAGAACATTTTGAGACCCAGAATTTGAAATGAATCTCCTTACATTACTGCTTAAAATTTCCACAGAAAGAAGCAAGAAATGCACAAAGGTTTTTCAGTGTAATCTTAGATCCAAATATATTTTAAAGATAATTTTAAAAACCTTACAGTACTCCAGAGTTAAATGGCACATCAAACTTTAAAGTGACAAAAGAAGGTGCTTAGCATTAAAAAGTGCATAAATCAAAAAGAATATCTAAAACTTATTTTCCTGATTCCTCCATAAAGAACAGAGAAATCATAAGCACCACTGTGATTCACATCAGACCTAAGGTAAATCTTAGGCAACAAGGAAAGAAGTTTAACTAAACAGGTAGGACGTACAAAAAATGGAGGTAAAAGAGAATTTAATCCCAGAAACTGCATAAAGTTAGAATGCTCAACTAACCTCTCCAAGGCGTCTAAATGCACCATAAATACCTCCAAATAAAGTGGAGAATATGGCATACCAAATCTGTGTGTCCATAAAATAGACCTAGGAAAAAGGAAATCCTTTTATTAGACCTTTATTATCCAAATCATATAAAAACAAAGATGGATTTAACTATGAACCCCGCATAAAGCATACAAGAATGATTGGAGCCCAAAGAGCAATCACGACGCCAATATTGTTCTTTGCTGCAAAATAAACCATCAAGTAATGAATATTTTATTCTAAAAATGACAGTTATTAACATATTAGTAGGCGCAATACCTCGAGGAAAGAATTCATGCCATTGGAAGTTTGTAACCCGAACACTCATAATAGCTTTTGTGGGACCTACCAAAGGCTTTATCTGTACACACAAAGAATTGTTCAAACAAGTTGCAACATTTGTATTCAATTAGACTATAAAAGCATAGCACAATACAACTCCAGTCAAACTTGGAAGAACAAGGCTTATAGGAGTTCTTTTCTTAATCAAATCAAAACGGGAAACTTTAAAGTGATTCCAGGGTGCCTCATAGAGAGAAAATGCCAACTTTGTAACAGTTATGTGATGTAAGATTCTTTTTTGGTACATTTGGAAGGCAGGGGACTAGTAATTAAAAATCAGACTTCTCCCTAGAATGACACTAAGACAAGTTTGACTAGTACCAGTCCAGTTTATTTTTTAATGAAAATAAAAGATCACATAATTGGAATTTCCGAGAAGAGAGCCGCACCTCAATATAATAACTAAATGCCAACTTTGTGATGATAAGGAGAACCCAAAACAATGTATACCTGAAATTTAACAAGAAAATAATTTGGAGATTAATATTTCCAA